TAGTCGGGAAACTGGGGAGGTACCGGATCGTCCGTGGCCGCCAGGTACTTGTCTATGAGCTTCTCCGTGATCGCCTCATCTGGAGTTGAGTCGGTGGCCAAATGGACAGCTTTCGCCAAAGCTCTCTTCTGATTAGGTGGCGTGAAAAAAAGAAATCAACAGCCAGTTCCACCCCAAGCGAAAGATGCACGAACTTCGGAACGCCGATTCGTCCCCCTTCGTGTGTATCGTCTGTTTATCTGCTGTTCTCTTCTTGTGTTTATTTGCTCTTTTCTGTTCTTCCCGGGTCATTATGCGATATTTTATATCCTTTTCTGTTCTTCTCATGTGGTTATCTGATTTCTTTTGCTATTATCAAGTCTCTGTTCTATGGTCCGACGCCGGCGTTTCGCTGTCGCATTACTGACTCACAGACAAACGAATTAGCCCTTCGGTGACGCTCGTGCTCATTATCACCCAACACATTATCAGTACACATTATCATTATTGGTACACATTATCAGCGAACACTGCGACTGAAAAAAAAATACTCCCGTATCCCACATATTGGGTCATTTCTGAAAAAGGTTTGGGGGGCCATGGTATTCCATCCAACAACATGTCGATACCGATCTTCAAAATGAGTAAAAATCTGGACGCCAGTTCTGAAATGCTGTTCTTGCTTAACGCTTGCGCTTCAACACATGTTGACCACATTGGGTGCATCACGGAAACAATGCTTTAGACCAGTCAATTTTGTGTAGTTCGCCAACGTAATTACGAGAGAAAAAAAGTGTGCGACGACCTTAGCCATGTGTGCGCCCTGGCCGTAAACGAGAGGTTCGCGGGCCGCTTGTTTGAAACCCCTGCAAAGAGAGTCTTCGAATCCAAGAAGCTTAGGGACCCGAGAAATTAGCAAGTTGTTTACGTACTACTAGGCAGAGCCCAAGGCAATCCTTAAGTGCTCACGTGACCTCAGACCTAAAGGTCGAAAACCTACGGGGCTCTTCCGTGATAAAAAGCGAACATTTTTGTGAAATATGTGATCATTTTTGTCGCTTGATTGACTAACGTGGACTCTCCCTGGGTGTTCTTTCATGTATTTTTTTTTCATTGCCGCAATTTTGACGAACTGACTTATCTGTGGAAAGGAGTAGCCGGCGATATATAAACGCGCTAACTGCTGTTTAGAATTCTTCGAACATTGATATAGGAGGAAGTCAACTGGTTAAGGACTTGTCTATGTGGAGTAAGTTATGACGACCAAGCTGCGTACGACCTAAACGACAAGCCTACAAGTCGAGATAATGTAATTTTCATCGTATAGACAGACTAGTTTACGAGGTGTATCGTGACGGGGAGACTACGAGAGTCTTGGAAGAATGCTAACATCATCCGAATACATAAGAAAGGAGGTGACAAAGACTTGAAGAATTACAGGCCGATCAGCTTGTTCTCTGTAGTATACAAGCTATTTACAAAGGTAATTGCTAACAGAGTAAAGAAAACATTAGAATTCAATCAACCAAAGGAACAAGCAGGATTTCGAACAGGCTATATACTTAATAATTGACCACATTCATACTATCAATCAGGTAATAGAGAAACGCTCAGAGTATAACCAACCTCTATACATAGCCTTCATAGATTACGAGAAGGCGTTTGATTCAGTAGAAATATCAGCCGTCATGCAGACACTGCGGAATCAGGGCGTAGATGAAGCATATATAAACATCCTTGAAGAAATCTACAGGGGATCAACTGCTACCATATACAGTGCTTCATAAAGAAAGCAACAGAATACCAATCAAGAAGGGTGTAAGGCCGGGGGTTACAATCTCCCCAATGCTAATTACCGCGTGCTTACAAGAGGTGTTCAGAGGCCTAGACAGGGAACAGTTAGGGATAAGAGTTAATGGAGAGTACCTTAGTAACCTGCGCTTCGCCGATGACATTGCATTGCTGAGTAACTCAGGGGACGAATTGCAACTCATAATTACGGAGTTAGACAAGGAGAGCAGAAAGGTGGGTCTAAAAATTAATCTGCAGATAACGAAAGTAATGTACAACAACCTCGGAAGATAGCAGTGCTTCGAGATAGGTAATAGTGCACTCCAAGTTGTAAAATACAATGTCTACTTGGGGCAGGTAATAATCGCGGAGCCTAACCACGAGATTGAAGTAACTAGAAGAATAAGAATGGGATGGAGCACATTTGGCAAGCACTCTCAGATCATGACAGGTAGATTGCCACTATCCCTCAAGTGGAAGGTATATAACAGCTGCATATTACCGGTACTTAGCTATGGAGCAGAAACCAGGAGACTTACAAAGAAGGTTCAGCTTAAATTGAGGACGACAGAGCGAGCAATGGAAATAAAAATGGTAGGTGTAACCTCAAGAGACAAGAAGAGAGCAGAGTGGATTAGGGAACAAACTGGGTGGGTTTGAGGATATCATAGTTGAAATCAAGAATTGATTGATTTGTGGGGTTCAACGTCCCAAAACCACTATTTGATTATGAGAGACGCCATAGTGGAGGGCTCCGGAAATTTTGACCACCTGGGGTTCTAGTTAAAATCAAGAAGAAATGGACATGGGCCGGGCATGTAGCGCGTAGACAGGATAACCGCTGGTCATTAAGGGTTACTAACTGTATTCCCAGAGAAGGGAAGCGGGTTAGGGGGAGACAGAAGGTTAGGTGGGCAGATGAGATTGAGAAGTTTGCGGGTATAAATTGGCAGCAGCAAGCACAGAAGAGGGTTAACTGGCAGAACACGGGAGATGCCTTTGGCCTGCAGTGGACGTAGTCAGGCTGATGATGATGATAATGATGATGATGATGAGACAGACCAGTTGTAAACCGTTCATTGTTACAAAAGAGCTAGGCGGCAACGCGCTCTCAACACACCTGTAGCCCATTACCTACCGCGCCGGGGCGTGTCGTCTAGTTCGCCTTTTCGGGGTTAATGGTCTTCGGCGGCCGGTCGTGCTCGCCGCGGCACCGAAATCGCACAGACGTACACAGACACGTGACTCCTGCTCGTGCACGTTGACCACGCGCGCACACGGGAGTGCAGACACGCCGGCCCCGGCGGCGTTCGCGGCCACGGGGTGACCCTGTCGGCCCACTCTTTGAGCGAGCTAACCACCTCGCTGGCCAAGCGAGCGGTCGCGACACCGCCGGGCGTTATTTCTTCATGTTCCTTTCTCTTTCCTGCCGCCGATTTGTACTGCGACACGTCGGCGTGCTGATGTGCACGGACTTCGCGTTCCGCTGGCTTCACCGAAAGTGAACGCTGATCCGAAACGTCGTCCCTATGGGCCGTGTCTTTTCTTCTCACGGGACCGGTATATGCTTAAGCGTTGCAAAACACGTGCCACATTCAGTCGAAACACTTCCGCCGAGCTTTCTTTTCAGAGGCCCCGCCGCGGTGTTCCAGTGGCTAAGGTACTCGGCTGCTGACCCGCAGGTCGCGGGATCGAATCCCGGCCGTGGCGGCTGCATTTCCCATGGAGGCGGAATTTTTGTAGGCCCGTGTGCTCAGATTTCCGGAGCCCTCCACCACGGCGTCTCTCATAATCATGTGGTGGTTTTGGGACGTTGAACGCCACATATCAATCAATTTCTTTTAAGAGGGTACATGCAGTTGGGAGACCTAAGAGGCGTTTCGAAATCGCAAACTGCGTTGAGTTAGTCTGTGGGCGACGAATGGAATGGACATTAAAAATGAACTGCGCTAGAGTGCGGTGGCATGACTGGTATATGTCCCCAGAAAGCCAGACACGGCGTAAACAACCGGGAAACCTGACAGGGACGAGTGAAGCGCAGTTCGTCTCTGTCCTCTTGAACTGTTTTCGCTGTTTCTAGTTTTCTGGCGCGAGAACTTACGGCAGCAACATTGGACTGCCCAACGCGATGCAGATGTGTTTACTATATATATATATATAGCTTTTCCATTAATTCAGCGTTAAGATACACAATACTTAACAGATCACTCAGACACTAAAATAAAGCAACTTCTGCCAGAAACATCGTAAAAGAAAAGAGACAGGGTACACAAGAACAGTAGGGAACTTTCTCCGGTTTTCCACCATACATGTGGGGAAGGGAATAAAGGGGTATAATGGAGAACGTGAGGGCACACAAGTCATGGCACACGTGTACATAGCAACGTGTCTACGGTACATCTTTTAACCTCGTTGCCTTCAAGAATTGCAGGGCGGTTCGTGTGGCTTTCTGGAATAATGAGCGGCAAGTGCAGGCTTAGAAAACTGTCAAAATTATTCGCGTGCCTCACGAAGCACGACGTAGCGGTGCAGATCAATGTAACATATATGTCAAGTAGATCATCTCTAGCGGGTACCCACGCGCGGCACTCAAAACGAGCGTTCTCACATTCCACGCGGCTGTTGTCATACTTTTTCCTTAAATTAAAACCAAGATCTCCAAGTCCAACCAGAGTCATGCGCTTTCTCACTCGATGTGAGCAGTAATCATTTATGATCTACTCATGGAGTACATCGAGGAGGATATAGCCTAAAGTAGTTACAGTGTGCTTAGTGGAACGAGGTGCAGTGAGGCCTCACAATACATGCGTAAATAGAAAAAAACTGGCCATTTTTATAGAGGTTTACTGTATGAGACACGCCGCATATTCTGCGTAGTGCCGAAAAGCTTGTATACACTAACAGAAACTCTGTAGTGATTTGACGGAGGGAGGAATGACATGCAGAAGAGGGAAAGTAGATATAATAGGCCCTGCTTGATCAAGCCATCGCAGTTCATATTAATGGTACTGCTGCGCTAAGGGCCCTACTATCATCACATAACTTTACTTTGCTCTCAATTATTCTTTCTTTCGTTCTTTATTTCTTTCTCTCTTCCTTTCTTTTTTTCTCGCTTTCTTTCTTTCTGTTAAAGATTTCGAATGGGAAAAGTGACACTGCTGTATTGTGTCAACCCTTTTGCAGCACTGTTTCTAAAAGATCCTAATGCCCTACCCCTCCTCCTTTCGCAGGCAGCAACATGACTTACTGAAAGCTAAGGAGTCTACCGCACCGACGCAAGCACTCTTTCAAGGTCAGCATTTCTTCGTCTCGACCTCTACGCAGAGTGACATCGGGACCCATCCGAGCTTCGTTCTTACATACAAACGTATATGTTCTATGGAAGGAAGAACAACTGAACAGGTCGCGCTTTCTACGCGTTTTTCTTTGCCGTGTATATAGCGGATAGCGTATTCGGAAACGCACACGTCAAAGACAAAAAAAAAAAAAAAGCGAGAACACAGGCAACCATCTTCAACATTCAGTGATTAGAGTTTATAACGTGTCAGAATGTGCCTCGCGAGTCTTCTGCTTTCTGTGTGATGTACATAAGTGATTGTTGCATTTTGTGCTGTATGTGTCCCTGTTGTTTCGTTGTCGTGTGTTCGACGACCCAACGTGCGTGTACCTACGCGTTTATACAGCCATGTCGTATAGGCGCGTGTGTGGTCATCGTAACTGTGTAAAGCGAAAAGTTGAGAAACCTCGGTAACGGCAGCGAGAGGCACCTGTGACAAAACAGCGTCAGTGCCACATCAGCGGTCACGTGATTTCAACGAATATCGAAACCTGTGTAGCCAAACATTGTAACACTCCTTCCGAAGAAGCGTGGAGAAGCAATCATCCTGCACGTTTCTCCTAATGTAGTCTATGGAGTAATGTTTTGAAAGACGGAATCTACTTCGAGAATATTCCATCATTTCTAGCGCTCTGTCAGGTTGTTATCAAGCATGTGACGTAGTCAGCCTGTTCGTTTATGCATCACATTGGCTTCTGCCGTTAGTAGAACATAATTCCTAAGTCGTACCGCGAAGGCAGAAACCGTTTTACTGGGAATAACTACTTACCTGACTCAAATTGTAACTCAGACAGTGGTGTCAATGTTAGGTAGGTGTGAATACGGCAACTCTTTGACGTAACAACGATATGTCACTTTTGTCTCGACCTGTAAAAGCGAAAAGCTTACATTTTGTCTCATTTTTATGGTTATGAGCGATTGCGATGCATTCGCAATCATGTATGTTTGTTACATGATTGCGAATGCAAAGTATGTTAAGTCCACGAGCCATGAAACAAAGTATGTTAAGTCCACGAGCCATGAAACAAAAACACGTGAGCCCGAATTTCACGACTATACTGCCGGGGCACGGCTGTACTACAGATAAGTAGTGCGGGCATTTCTTGTTGTGATGAGGATGCCTATGAAGTGATGTGATCATGTTGAAACCGCTTTTGACTCGGACGCTGCACAGTTATCGGAGATGTTTTGCCTAGATGTACTGTGTGGCTGAAAGTGTTGCTGTTTATCGTATTATTTGTTTTCTTATGAGTGTTTTCTTACGAGTGTCTATGAGTGTTGTTTGTCTATTTATGAGTGTAACGGGCACTTGAAAACTTTCGCTTCGGTTTCTGGACGAAAAGGTAACACTTGAAATCTGTACATATCAACGCTGAGCAATCGGCACGCATTGCGTCTTGTAAGATTGAAGCCTGTTCTTACGTTGGGACGTCGAAGTTCGTGTTCGCTAAGTACTCGTATATCTAAACACTGACGTTTCGGGAAGTTTTTAGAGATTTGATCGGCATAACAGAATAGTTTCCCGTATACCGGTAGCTTGCGTGTAAGGTGCATTCCTGGCGTCTGTATTAGGCGATAGCGCACTTGTGTTTCGCATATCTACCACCGCTAGTCAAATTACGCGAACGCGACGAAACTACATGTACATTGTTCTTTATATGTGTATTCTGCATTTCCCTTTAGATAGCGCCAGCTTCAACAGGGTAAGTATGATAATGACAACATTTTGTTGACATCAACCATCCATAGTGAAACACTTTTAGAGCTGATCACAGTGGCTTGTCGGTGCAAAGCGTAAGCAGTGATTTGCTTTTTTCCTTAACATGTTTCTGTGATGCCTTTTCAGCACACAGGGCGTAAGTACTACGCTTGGCGGAAAGTATTGAAACAGAAAGAAGCGACCGACATTCACTGTTGGTGCGGATGGCGTTAAAGAAAAAGTTGGAAATGCAGCTACGTTTGCACTTTTTGCAGCGTGTAAATTCGTTGATACGTCGTCCAGCCAAAGCACCATGAGAGAGTGACAAATACATAGATAGCATCGATTGGGCTTTGTCGGGAGGTACGAAACAAAAAGAAGCATTTGAGTACAGTACAGTTTTCTTTGACCAACGTCAACAGGCGACCAACGATAATATTACGAACGACGTACACAACTTTAATGTTTTGGAATTTGAGACCAGTGTATTTATGTCTTGTTACAAGTCCTCTATACCAAAGGCAAGGTGAACCAACTCCGTGAGAAAACGCGAAATTCTACAACGGATCACTGAGAGCCGCCAGTCAATGTTGCGACAACGTCTGCGGCAACAATAATGTAGCTTAAAGAGCTATGAATCGCAATTTCTGTGAGGCAGCTGGCGACCAGTTCGATTACACCGGAAAGATTACTGCGAGTGCACGTAAAGACCAAGTCACGCCCGCGCATCTGTAGTTTTCGGAGCATTTTAAGCAAAAGTGCAGTAAACTTTTGGCTACTGCAAGCATAGAGTTTCTCAAAATTAACTAGAGGGCACTCTGGCGCTGCATGCGATCGTTCAGCGACCATTGGAATGATGGTAGTACACACATTTGCCTAGTCTTCGTACTGGCGGGTGGCGAATCGTACTTGCGGCTTCGTTTATTGCTGGTTACGGTTTTCTTTTGAAGGAAAGAAAGAACCCTTTTGAACTTTGTGACTTAATTCGAAATGGCAAGCCTAAAAAATAAGGTTATGAAGTGCAAACGGTGAACATTTGTAATTTATGTTTTCGTAAAAAAAACAGCTTCAAGTCACACGAACACACGAGCCAGAAGCAGGTCAGAAGTACGAAAATTAGACAAATGTGTGTACTATATACCCATCATTCCCATGCTCGCTGAAGCGCCGTGTGTTGCTGCTCCCATAGACACTAGCGCCAGAGTTCCCTCTAGTGTACATTAAGAAATTCCATGACTACAAGGATGTTTACTTCGAGCTTTTTTTGTTATAAGAAGATATAAGCGAGCAATCGCGTTCGCGGTAAAAGTGAAGCGAGCACTATCTAAGAAGGACGAAACGTCTTGCCTCCGGGATCCGTCGAAGACTCTTGTTGCATTTCGAATGAGTCTTCATTAGAACATCTTTTGTAATTTCACGTGAGTTTCGGTTCTTTGTACAAAGCTGTTGTTTATATATATTTACAGCCACATGTACAGCATTATAGAACAGAGGCTGTGTGTACAGCCTGCAACGCCATTTACTCCTATACCCGTAGCTCTGTGAATCAGAAACAGTGGTCTATCGCTCTCTTCATTATATTTGTAAACATCACGGTGTGATCCTTCTGTTTTCGTTGTCAATGCACTTTAGCATATTCGAATCTTTATTATTGTTTTTCGGACTCGTTTGTGTACGTTGTATGTCGGAGTGTTAGACATGCATTCCTTTGTGCGTGAGTTCTGTTCTTCGTCATGATGTACGGCGATGAATTGTATTATCATTAATGTCGGAGTCTAGGAATATTTATGTTAGGGTTGCGTACAGCAAGCCTAATAACATTTTTTTTTTCTCAAGTTACGCGTGACCAGTTGTAGCTTTTACGCGTAAAACCTGTTCCCGTGGTCTGTGTTTGCGATGACAAATGTCCTGATCTCGAAAAAGTGTCACTAGAGCCTTGAGTATCATCCTAATAATGATACAAAATCCGCAAATCAAATCATAGTCATTCTAATATACATCCGAGATATTCCTAAACTTCGGAGGCTCCACGATCAACGAGCCTTTTAACAAATTCTTCACATGAAGGACAACTGCATCTTTACTACTTGTTCACCGAGCTACAACATTGGTGTGACGACTGTTTGTCCTGCACGAAGATCAGTTGATTGCTCGAAGTAACGCTTTCTCGCAGTGAAACGACGCAAAAACACTCATTTGTTCATAGCGCGAATTCAGATTGCTTGTACAATTTAGTAATAAGATAACGTGACGATAAGCTCGGCTAAAGCTAAGAATTATCAATAATCCACAGACAAACACTCCTCGATTGAGAAAATTAACAAACGACGCTGTTTTATCCATATTTCACGCGTTCCATTTTTTTCTTCAAGGAGATTATTTTTTTATCGGGCTGTTCATACATAATGTCGCATGACTCGATGTGTGACATTTTTTTTTATATCAACGCACAATTCACAGTTCCCGAAAACGTGTAAAAGAAATGAATATATCATATTATTTTGCACTTTAATATTGTCCTGATTTAGTAAAAACAAATGATGTCCGCCTTCTAAGCAAGCTGCGATTGAGCCTAAAAGTGAATTAGTTGAGGACCACGTTGGTGGATAATCAAAACTAGAAAGCACAAGGCGCATATTTTTACGGCAGCACAGCTTTCACGCGTGGATATACAACTGGAGCCTGCATTACCGGGTGTCGTCGTGAGGAAAATGCGTGTCTGCCTCTTAACGTACTTCAAGCGTGAGCATATGTAATCAAAGTATGAACTTTGTTTCGAGAACGGACAGCACATGACGTTCGTGTTGTATGCATATCCATGTGAATACCCATATTTTACAACCTCGTTTTTTTTTTCTTTTGTTTTCGTGCATTGTGTGTAGTATATCATCGTTTATAAAGCGAAGAATCTTCCGATGTCTAGTCAACTTCATAGTGTGCAATGCTTTGCGAGCGTCTACGGTTTGCAAGTGTGTTCTACCGCTTCGTATTAGCGGGACATTGCTGTTATATGTGCTACTTGTGCTTTATACCGATCACACTGTAGAGCAGATTGCGAATCATTGACGAGAATGACCGCGATTACAGGATAACTTTTATCCAATACCTTGTTTGTTTTGCACAAATAGTTACGTTTAATTGCACGCTTGTATAGATACGTTTGCTACGGTGATTTGCTTTCGTTGGCGATGATTGTATTGTTATTTGTACGATAGATGGTAGGGTCAGTTTACGTTGTATTGTAAAGACGAAAGAGACAAAGTCTTAGAAGCTGAGCACGACAGCCCGCGGGGTAAGTGGCAATATTTTGTGTTTGTCTTTGAAGTTTCTGGAATAAAATAAGCT